ACGCAGACCAAAACCAAGCGAAGGGCTGTTTCACGTGGGGTGAGGGAAGAAAAGCAGAGACAGGCAGAGAGACATTCAGAGAGACATTCAGAGTCTTTTACTTCTTGGCATACCAGTGTTTTACCAAAAAATAATTGTATTTATCTGTTTTTTTTTTTTTTTAACAGCTTGGCAAAACAGATTTTGACTTTTAATAGGGAAAGCAGTCACATTAGCATATCAGGAGGCAGAAGGTAATCGAGATCTGGGTGTAGACATCTCAAAATATTTCTGTTTAATCACAGATTCTGCATTTCTGCCCAAAGGCAGTTAAAATGTGTTGGCAAAGATCATGTTAAAACAAAACTTAAACAAAACAACAAAAACACCAACTCAAATCTTGAAACAATCTAGTTGTGGGTTTTCTTCCTTAGGCAGAGTTCAGCTTTAATTGATGCTTTTCAGTTCCACTGAACTCCTTAAAGCCCATGGCTTTGGTGGTTGAAGATTCTTCACTCTGTTGGGCTTTTCCTTATTTAAATGTTTAGATTAAATGTCTCAGTTCCCTTTGCTACTGCTTAGAATAATGGTTTCTTAACTGTTCTTTAAAAGGCAACAGGGTTTTTTTTTGTTTTTTATTCTTTTGACATCGTATTTTGGATCCTTTAAGAAATCTTTAATCAACTGCTTTTTAATTTTAAAATTACTCTGATCAAAGCTATGTGAATCTCAAAGATTAGCGTAAGGTGAAAAGGAATTCCGGCCACATATGAAGATATTTTTAAGGTTCAAAGCCTAAATATTTTAAAGGACTTTGCCATGCAGACAGATGCTTTTGCAATAATCACTTCAGTATTAGGTTTTGAATGTGTGAGGAAACTAGCTAAAGGCATTGGTGTAAACAAGACAATCATGGAATCATAGAATGGTTTGGGTTGGAAGGGACCTTAGGGATCACCTCGTTCCGACCCCCCTGCCATGGGCAGGGACACCCGCCACCAGACCAGGTTGCTCAGAGCCCCATCCAGCCTGGCCTTGAGCACTGCCAGGGATGGGGCATCCACAGCTTCTCTGGGCAACCTGTGCCAGTGCCTCCCACCCTCGTAGTAAAGATCTTCTTCCTTATATCTAATCGAAATCTACCCTCTTTCGGTTTAAAGCCATTACCCCTTGTCCTATCACTATGCTCCCTTGTAAAAAGTCCCTCTCCAGCTTGATTGTAGGCCCCCTTCAGGGACTGGAAGGCTGCTATAAGGTCTCCCCAGAACCTCCTCTTCTCCAGGCTGAACCACCCGAACTCTCTCAGCCTGTCCTCATAGCAGAGGTGCTCCAGCCCTCTGATCATCTCTGTGGCCTCCTCTGGACTCGCTCCAACAGGTCCATGTCCATCTTATGTTGGGGGCCCCAGAGCTGGACGCAGTGCTCCAGGTGGGGTCTCCCCAGAGCGGAGTAGAGGGGGAGAATCCCCTCCCTTGACCCGCTGCTCATGCTTCTTGTGATGCAGCCCAGGAGGCGGCTGGCTCTCTAGGCTACAAGCGCACATTGCCGGCTCCTGTTGAGCTTCTCATCAACCAGCACCCTCAATCGCAGAACAACCTTGTCAGTGAACTTCAGTCCTGAACCAGGTCAACGGTGGTACGCGCCTTTCTTGAGCAGGGCTTTCCCGAGTTACCAAATCGTTTACTTACTTCTTCCTGACAGATAAGTATCTCTCAGAATAAACTGTGCCTTTGGCCTAAGTAAATTAAAAAACAAACAAACAACAACAACAAAACAAAAAAACCCCAAACCCACAAAAAATCTGTTTCAGAAATGGCAAAATTGGATGCACCGGCCTGCCGTGCAATCTAGGCACTAGCATTGTGTTTTCTTAAGTATTAGTTTCTTGTTTGAAAGTAGCTTACAATTCGTGTCTAATTTTTATAGTGTTACTGTAGATTTGTAGTTTCAGTATAATTTTTGGAATGAGTGAGCTCACTGGCTCCAGTCTTACGGGATTCCTTAGCGGTATCACCAAAACCGTTATTTCTCCGGCAGTCTCACTGGAGCTCGCTCGGGGGTCTTTCAGCCACGAGCTTACGAACTGGCGCTTGGCTCTGCTGGGGCCTGCACCCACAAGACAACACAGTACGGTGACTATTGACGGGCAGTCACTTTGCCGTCTAAATTAACGTACGAATGAAATGTAAATCAGCACTGACTAGTTTGCAAGATCTTTCAGAGTGGGCTCCAAGTGTTGTATTTGATACGCAGTACAGATGGGACCCAGTACTACGAATAAAGTGACATATTTTTGATTATGAATGCACATAGCGTTCTACAGACAAATTCAGTTCTCTGGAAAGAGAAGAATTGTTTGAAACTGTACCATGGTGTTATTCCATCAGATAATGTGAGACTTATAAAGTAGGTGCTATTCATCAGTTAACTTTGGGTCCAAATTTCAGTTCTGAAACTGTATTTACACTCTCTTGGTGAAGTAAACAAACATCCAGAGAGTCTGATGAATCCTGTTTTAGATGTTCATTGAAGTCTACCTTGTAGGTGCAAGATGCTCTGAAACTTACTGATACGAAGGTCCTGCCTATTTTTAAGAATCGTATTCCTCTTAAGACAGATTCTTCTCTAGTTTCTCAAGAACAAGCTTAGTCAAGCTGAAGTGCAGTGGCCTGATGAATGGAAAAATGACAGAGTCCCTCTCTTGGCATATGTTTTTTATGTGTGTAAACCAAAGTTCATTACTTCAATCTCCAAACCGGTACACCCTTGTCCGGTGTGAAGTGCTCTTTATGCTGTGAAGCATGTTACGGGATTAGAACGCTCTGAGGACAAGCCCTGAAGGCATTTTGTCTAACTGATTTGAGTGAAGCCGATTTCTAAAATGGTGATAGCGTACACATTCATAAACAAACATACACAGATGGTATTTGAAATCAAGGCTTCTTGAGCTTAAATGGCCACACAGCAGCTGCAGCGTTCTCAGGAGGTTTGTGGCCATTTTATACAAGCTGTGTGTATTGGTGTTCTGCTGTGCTTGAAATGCGAGGAGAAACCGCCCCGCGTTACCAGGTTGTGCTCGGGGTGTGTCCTCTCAACGTCGCGCTGAGAAGACTTGCAAAAATGAATGCACGTTCACGCGAATGAAAAACTTGTGGGTAGCTTCAGAAATCCTCAGGTAAGACAGGTAGTCTTCAAATAAGATGCTACGTTCCTTTCATTTTTTTTGCAATATGGAAAGGAACGGGGGCTGCAGCAAAGACTGATCTAAGCTAATGCCAAATCTCCAGTGGGGGTCAGCAGTAGATGCTTAGGGAAGAGTACAGAACAGAAAGAGCCTGTCGTGATGTTTCCTAAAGTACTATCCCAGTAGCCGAGAACTTGTGTCTGAGAAGCTTTCCTAGCAGCAGCATCTTGTGACAAATACTTCCACTGTAGATAGCACAGAAACTGTACATAATGTGAAGAATTAGCTGCTTTTCCTTTGCTCTGAATCTGACCCCATCTGCTTTAATCTGATGCACCGCTTTGTTCCCTCTAGTTGAATGCAGTGAAAAATCATTCCCTATTTGCTTTCTCTGTCACTCATGGTTTGTACATCTTTATCACACCGGCTCTGATTTTCTTTTTCTTCTCTGAAATGTCCTGTCTGCTTAACTGTTCTCTACATGAAAGCTGTTCAATGCCTCTTGTCAACACCTTTGCTTTCAGCGAACTTTATATGTTTGGGATATTGCTGAAGCCCAAGTAAAGTGTCCAAACGAGGCCTATGTCTGCCATTTGACTAAGCTTATTCTAAAGACGTCGTTATCTGATTAACAACCTTTAGGAAAACAAATGCTTGTAAAGCAACATCCATCATACAGTCTGCCTTTAAAACCAGTTAATTCTTTCAAACTCTGTGAAGTTATTCTTGGTTGTGCTGCTTCCCTTTGGCTGAAAATACCCTTCCCTCCTCCCCTGCCCGGCTTCCTCCTGGGTTTCCTCTTCCTTGCCTCCCTTCTGCTCTTTCTGTCGCACCCGCCCTGCGATGCAGACGGGGCCCCTAACGCTTCCGCTTTCTTTTCAGGAAATTTTCACTACCTTTGTCCTAAGGTGGACATCAAACAGAATTCGCCCGGCCGCACCGACACTGAAATGCCCTGTGAGATATGTTAGGCAAAGGTATTTTTCCACTTTCTCAGCTTCTTACAAAGAGGGGTGCGGGCAGGGGAGCTCTTTGACTAAACAATGGCAACAAAAGTGGAACTTTAAAAACACAAGAAACAAACTCCTGCTTCCCAGACAGGAAAAAGCAACAATCTGGGTGAACAAAAACAGAAAAAAAAAAGGGAAAAAAAAAAAAAAAAAA